AGGTTGCGCTGGGGGAGGTTTAGATTGGATAAAAGGAAAAAAAATTATTTACTGAGAGAGTGGTCAAACATTTGAATAGGCTGCCCAGGGAGGTGATGGAGTCACCATCACTGGAAGTGTTAAAAAAAAAAGTAGATGTGGCACTTGGGGGCATAGTATAGTGGGCATGGTGGTGTTGGGTTGATGGTTGTACTTGATGGTCTTTAAAGGTCTTGTCCAACCTTAATGATTCTATGATAACTGTATTGTGTATTACGGCCTCACCATAACATGATAACATAGTACAATTTACTGTACACAGTATATTATAGTTTTACACCCTTATCTGTCCAAAAAGGCTTGATCAGTATCAGTCACAGAATTCAACATGCTGACCCAGTAAAACTCACTTTCCTGTATTCTAAGTATTTGAGTCATCACTGTTTCAGTGGTATACTTGCCTACAGCAAAAAGAAGTACTTAAATTCCTTGTGAGAGAGATACCTAAGAGAGAAGTAATCAAATTAAGGGAGAGTTGTTGTCAGCTATATGAATTCACACTCTAATTACTTATCACACCTTATTAATGAATGGACAAAAGAAGGTATAAAGACTTTTTTCTGGAAGTCAGGTTAGTACTGTACCTCACAAGACAAACCAGAATAACCCAATGGGCAGTTACATTTCTCAATCAAGTAAGCTTGAGGAGTCATTCCAGACACAGGTCCACTTTCAGCAACTTCCATTGAAATCTCAGAAATCCTGGAAAAGAGGAGCAAACACCTCTAATGAGTTTAGTCAAACAGCAACTCAGAACCAGCTAGTTCATAGTCAGCTGCCATGGGAGCAAATGGTCTTACATGACTGTTCGTAGGTGTCTTGATCTACAGGAGACAAATAGGACAATTTTTGCCTCTTCTAAGGAAAGAGCAAAGCTACCAGCACCTCCAGTCTCATTTTCCATTTCTAGGCAATAGTATAACTAACTTTTCTCTCCTGCTTGATTCTATGTCTTTTTAAAATCTCTTTTCAGCCAAATTATTAACAAAAGCTCATATCTGATTCTTCATTTGGAGCAACTCATTAAGAAATTGAAGTCACATACTAAATGCAGTTCCAATTCACGATTCTCAGAGGTACAGCAATAAAATTGTTCACTAAATGAGCTTTTAATGAGGCAACTATTTAAAAAAATAAAATCTATCCCCAGCAACTAAAGCAATGTAACAAGCTCTGGAGTAGACTTCAAAGACATTGGACATCTGCCTTTTTAGCAGGAATTTTAAGATCTATTGCCAGATATCCTTTTTTTTTTTTCCTTCCTTAGCATCATTTAGACACATAAACAAACAATTTAAAGCAAACAAGAAATCCTAATATAGAAGCATCTGCAAATATCAGAAAGAGATATTTTTTTTCATGGTAGATTTTCTGGCATTGTAACTTTCCAAATATTTGTTTGATTGTGTTAATAATAATATCCTTGCCTCCCAACCACTCCGTCATTCCAGATACATGTGGACCTGTCAATAGGGTTGAAGTACATCACAGACAAAGACAACAAACATAATATCCAATGAAATACACTTAATCCTAAGGTACTACAGTGTTGTCCTTTGTTCTTCTTTATTTTGGGTATTTGTTACTTTGTTTAAATGAATGCTATGATTTGAAACTTCTTATTGTCTTTTGACACATAAAAAGGGTAGAAGAATGTAAATTTTAAAGCTTCAAATATAATGCCAATCTAAGAGAAAATGTTGAAGAATGTGTGAATAGCTAGCTGAATAAATGTTGATAATGTTGCTAAGAGTCTATTAATTAAGTGTCTACGCATATGGCTAATGCAGAGTTGCTCACAGAACTGCTCAACTCCTCCTCATGCTCATAGTCTGTTCAACCTTGATTACTGAACAACACTCTTCTTCTGCACATTGGCATATAGGCACCAATGTCAGGATGACTGTACGAAAAGCAGAACGCCCATTGCTGAACTAATGAGACTTTTGTGATTGAGCTTACGTGACCAGACCTATAACTCTTGCATACCTTGTGTCAGTGCAAAATCACCAAATCATCTAGCAACTTGAACCTCGTGCTCCCTTCTTACTACTTGAAGAAAGGGGTTCAGTGAAGCAGGGAAATTGAAGAAGAAAACCCAAGCACACAAAGCCAGGTAAAAACAGAAGACTGAAAATAAAGAGGGCAAAACCATTCAGAGCTGGTATGTCAATGTAAGCTTACACTGAAATCTCTGTACACTGAAGGGAAAAACAAAATGAAATCTGCCTCCCCATCACCTTCAAGTTGAGGCAATGGTCTGTGTGCTGCAAAAAAAACTAGTTACTGTCAGAAAGCTGTATTTACATAATAATATGCTCTGGGACCACAAAACTACCTGTTGTTTGTGTGAAAATGTTACTTAAGGAAGGTCAGGCTTGGCTGGTTCTTGGAACATGTCTAATAGGCAGGAGTCCGACAACTGCTACCTGATCAGTGTCAAGGATATTGAAATAATTCACAGTCAAATTGAAAGCATACTTCCAATTCAAACTAATTTATTATCACAGCCCAGTTGCCTGAAAAGCAAAACAAAACCTAATAAAAGAAATTTTTCCATTTAGAGCAGGCAACAAAATGAACAATATAGGAGAAAAATGTTTGGCTTTCGATTCTGAGCAGAAATCTCTAAATCACTAGTAATGCTGCAGCTTTGAAGCAGAAACAACATTAGCATTGCTGCTAAACTATACAGCCAATACAGCACTAACACTAGAATTAAGCTATTTTTATGCTTCCAACTGCTGCCGCTGCTTTATTTTAAAACGTTTTTCCTGTACTTTATCACTCATCTGCAGCTTTTAAACTCTGCAATTGAAATTAAGGCACTATTAAAAACCTTAAAAAATTTAAAAAGACTTCATATATAATATTTTCCTTCTCCCATCCACAGTTTCTTTTGCTTTTTATTTTTCTACTATGTACAGTCAGGTGGAAAGAGACGCTTTACTAGTTTAGAACAGGGCCCTTATTTAGAAAGCACAACACACTCTATTTAAACAAATGCTTATTATAAGTCACTTAATTCAAACATATGTTTAATGTTGAGCATAAATATTGTCCTTTAGAGGGTTTCAAACTATTTTTAATAAAAAATCCAATTCTTACGCAAGCTAATATTCCGCTAACCTTTAAAAACATTTTGGGGGATTTATTTTGTGGTCTTAAGCAAAACTTCCTCTGAAATCATTGAAGGCG